GGCAGTAGTTGTCTTGAGTGGCCTCACTGGAGACCTCTACCAAGACCTCATGCATCCAGGAACTGGTTTTTAGCTGAGCTGCCTGACCTGTGTTGTAAGTAGTGCCAGTTTGTGGTCCTGCTCCTGGCTGAGCTCAGGATCTGCACTGCAGGGAGCTGTTCTGGATAGAGCCCTCAGAACCATGGTGTAACTTGTCTCCTGACCTGTCTTTGTCCCTGTCTCCTTCTGCACTTTACTGGCCCAACCCAGCCCTGGTTTGTCACTTCGCCCTGTCTCAGACTCGTGATTGACTGTGTTAGTAGCATCTGGCTCTGGTCACTCAGATCTGGTGGCATGGAGTGCATTGCCCATGTGTGGCTCCTGGCTTGCTTTTTCTTAGGAAGCAGCTGGCCTTTGCTGCTCCCCAGCACCCTGAACTGGGTCTCTTTTCTTTCCATCCCCCCCTCCTCAATTCCTAACTCAGTTCCATGCATGAATCCACATGAGATAGTTTCATGGACTTCGGGCTGATCCTCTAATCCCATCAGAAGAGCATTGAGAGGGTGGTTGAAAGGACCCACAGTAAGCAAGCTCTGTGTTGGCTTACCTACCCAGGGACTTTCACCTCTAGTCATAGCCAGACAGCAATATGCCACCTCAAGTTAGCTGTTCCATTAGTACCAAAGAAAGGGATAGAATTTGAATTTGTGCAATCCAATTTTTTTTTTTTTTAATTTGTATAACTGACAAATGCTTAAGTACAAAAAACAGCCAAAAGTAGGTGATAGGAGTCTCCGTATCTCAGATTTTTCTGCTGATGGAAAGAATGCGTGATCGTTTCAAGATAATACTAGGTAATGACCTGTGCATGCAGATCATTTTGAAATATGTATAACTTGCTCGTGCTTGCCTCATCGACTCTCAGATTCCCATGATCTTCCTTCACCAGTTAAAAAAGGGCTATATGGGCTGAAAAGGGAATTGCATTTGATTCAGTTTTTGTTGTGGGTAAAGTCCAAACCTGCTGCTAGTCCGTTTTCTTGTACAGAGTCCATCTATTGTAGCTGTAAGCAACAAAACAAAATGACACTGTTTTCATGATTAATAACTGAAATCCTACAGATACCTCACCTGTGGTTCAGCAGTTTCAAAAAACCCCATTTTTTAAAAAAAAAGCAGCTTCACGCATACTGTGATTTGCCTATAACTGATGCTGTTCACAGCTGCTGAACTGGCGTAACTGTGTAAGTTTTTAAGACTGTGCAAACCACCTCTGCAACAATTCATCAAAGAAGTGTCATGACTAATAGCAAAAAATACACCTGTTTGCCCTTACACTGATGTCCCTGCCTCTGCACATGTGTGCCATTCACGAACTGAGTAGTTGAGATTCTCCAGAGCATCAGAGCTGGGACAGGAGGACAACTGGCAGGCTGGGTATGGGTCGGGAGTGGGAAGTCCTGTGTTAGATATGGAAGCTGTGTGGCTCATGATATTTCAGCACCTTAGCAGTGAACAGGAAGGCCTTCTAGACAGGAAGGAGGAGTTGCCTTCACAGCTAGCCCTGTTCTCTATTCCTTCTCATTTACGTCAGGGTTGTAGATATAATCGAGGTTACTGAGAAAATAATAAAATCATCCTAATGTGCCTAAGGTTAAAAATTAGTGGTGAAACACAGCCACAGGATCTTTTTTACCCACAAGCCTGGAGATCTTCAACTATGTCTTGAAACTGTGATCAGCTTTGTATGAAATTTTAATTGAGTTTGCAGTGTCACTAGAAGTAGATGCAGAGGTGCTGATTCAGAAAAGAGCATACATCTGCTTTGCCCCCTCCCTTAAGTGGTCTGAGTATGTTGTATAACAGAAGAACTTCTGCACAGGTCAAGATGCAGGGCAAGTTCTGCCTTCCCCTGGTTTATAGGTGAGGCACAAATTGTATAAAGCAGTATCACTGAAAATCTCCTTGCCTATTCTCATGCTGAAGTCTCATTGCATCCCATGAAGTAGCCTCAGACCCAAGGCAGAACGCCATTCAGCAGGATGCATGGCTAGGTTGTAGGATGCTGGGCTGAAGGGTCCTGAGTTTGAAGGAGGGTCCCCAGCTTCTTTCCCTGCTCATGACATCATGGAGTAAAGGTACCTTCCAATCCAAACCATTCTATTATTCTATACATGTGCAATAAAAATTATGGGGATGGACTACCACCCACATCTGGAGATTTGATTTGTTTGTCACTGAATGATGATCTGCAGAGCCACTCCTGGGTTGTACTTTTTGCTGTTTACAGGACGAAAGTTATTCTTTATTGCAGCATGAGGTACAAAGCAACAGTAAGGGTATTTGGCAGCACCCTTTCTAAAAGCTGCATTTTAGTTGAAGAATGGAGTTAATACTTGTGAAAGATGTTCACAGTGAAGTTTAATCACAGAGGAAAAGGAAGAATATGTGTCGTTTATTGGAATAAATCAGGATGACTCAAATTGTAGGCCTGAGAGCAGATGAAGAATGCATGAGGGAACATGGGTCTGTAGGGAAGGGAGAGTCTGGGAACACAGAGGAGCAAGAGAAGTCGAGACTGAAAGTGAGCACAGAAGTTAGCAGCATGTTAAAATCAGATGCTTGAGAGAAGTTAGGAAACATCAGAGTCCAGAGCTGGGAATTCTTTGTGGAATCTGATGACTCCGTATTTCTGCCTCAGATAATAGTTTATATGCCTGCTGTTGATTGATATTACCCAGGTCAGTGTCCTTTCCCTAGCATCCTAGGAAAACTGAGGAGCTCAGAACAGGAGAGAGAAAAAGAGGCAGGGCTGAGGAGGAGAAGAGTGGCCGAGTCCTGGTGTCCTTGAATGGCTCTTGCTGGATCTGGAGGGAGGAGTTGACAGCCTGGCTCTTAATCTTGCTCCTGCAGCAGCATTTGGCTGTTGGCCAGCTGGAGAGTGAATCACTGAGGCCGATACAGTCTTTCAGCCTTCTTGCATAAGCATTTAAAGTTTTCTGTTCAATATGCACCAGATAAGGCCAGGGCCCCAGCCTGCCTGCATGCTCTTCGTGTTTCTAAATATGAGTTGGGATCACATTTAAAAAGAATCTCTCGGAAAATGACATCCAGACTTAGTTTCTTTGTTACTCTTGTATTAAATTTGCTGTACTACTATATTTTCCTCACTGCCAGGATAGGAAATTCACTCTGTAATGTGATACCCAGCTGTAGTACTTTTGCTTCCCACATAACCATGATTTTTAAAGCTCTTGCCAACCAATCTTGGCCTCATAGGGAATCAGGAGACAATGAATATTTAATGTCCGGTGTGGTTTAATAGTACCAAGGTAAAAGATGCACATCCACTGTAAAACAAAGGTACTTTAAAACCATGCAGACAAAAAGTTCTCTGAGGAAAGAAGATGTCTGGTTTGCGCAGTGGTGGAAAGTGGCTTCTGGTTTCAGGTTCTCAGTGCATTTCAAATATGCAGAAAGCATGATAGTGAGTGACTTAGCTTTATGTGGGTCACTTGCTCGGGTGCCAGAGGAGAGACTGCACTGTTGGTACCTGCTGCTAGCACAAAATGCAGCTCTCTAACAACCTTTGGAGCTAGGAGGTATTTTCATACAGGAAGGCTAAATATGCTTACTTTGCAGAAAGCTTGTTGGAGGGCAAGAAACACAAAAAAGGTCAGATAGGGAAGGGAAAAGAGGGAGAAAAACACATCAGGAGAAATATTTTTCCTCAGATTTTATAAACCCTCACAGATTTAGTGGCAGGGAAGCTGGCGTCACGTTAGGAATTCATGACTTTGATCACTGTCCCACTCATATGCTAGCATGGCAGGGCAGAATTGGCTCCTATGTAAGATTATGTTCTGTTGGTCTTTTAGGTGATGACAACTACTTCCATTGATCATATGTGTATGTTAAAAGGAAAAAAAATACATTTCTTGTTTGATTACTCTTTGTAAACCAGCAGCATCAAAGGAACAGGCTGCCCTCACTACTCTCACAGCTGCTGCCTGTGTCTGTGCTGTATATATGCTAAATTAATTGGAAAAACAGGGACAAAAAGGCATTTAATTCGGGTCAGCCAGTTAGACTAGAGCAAATGCACGACAGGCTTAATCATTGTCTTTTGCCAAAGAGCAGGTTGGCAAGGGCAGGCACTCCAGCCCCTTATGATGAAATTTGAACTTTTTCCAGTGCCTTTGGAGATGGGATGCTGTGAGAGAAAAGTCTCCAAGCAGAGCCCAGACACTGGCGTATCAACAGGGTGGGATGATGGTGAGGGTTATGGCGGGTTATTTGTCTTTTGTCAGCTTTAAGCCTTGGTTCATTGCACATAGCATGGGAGGGCACCAAGCTTTCCCTTCACAAAAATGATGCACTTAATTAATGGGGTCTTGTTAAAAAACATTGGTCACTGGCACCATACTAAAAGCACACATATGCAGCAATATTTCTTACTCTGCCGCTATGTTTTGTGAGTTTTTCATGGGAAGGGACAGCAACAAAAAAATGCTTCAAAGAACCCATCTGTCTTATTGGCTTGCAAAGTTTGGGACTCCTGAAGCAATTTCTGTATAAACATGCCATCTTGCACTTCAAAAAAGAGTAAGCTGGCATGTTTGCAGTATGGCTCTCAAAGCTCCTTTTTCAATAGCCACGTAAATGATGCTGAATCTCAGTGTGTATTTCATATTGCAGTAAGAATTACTATGCAATACAGTGTGCATATTTTACACTAATTGAAGTGATTTTCTCCTTAACTCCTTGGGGAAAGGGTATTGAGGTGTGTAAAGATTAAACCAAATAAAAAATCATGTTAAAGTTGGTCGGAGAAATGTTGCTAATAATGGGGACAGAGAAGAATTAATTTCCCAACCTTTTTCTTTCCAAGCAGTTGACCTCAGTACATGTGCAACCCAGCTGTTATTCTTCAAGAAACAAGTGTGTTACCTTTATAGTATTTTGCTTTATTGTATAGATAACCTGGCTGGTTTTGTTTTTCTTCCTTTTGTTTCTTCCAGGCCTTCTGCCTTATCTAGTAGCCCAACATACTCAGAGCTTCCATTCCTTAGAATTTCACCGCACCGAAATCCTGCTGCAACATCAGAGTCTCCCTTCAGCACCCCTCACCCATACATTAACCCCTACATGGACTACATCAGGTCCCTGCACAGCAGCCCATCCCTCTCCATGATCTCGGCAGCCCGTGGACTCAGCCCAACAGACGGTGGGTTAAGACAGGCTTCATGTTTTCTGTCATTGTAGCAACTTAAGTTATATTAATCTTGTCAACATTTTTCCCCCTTGTTCAAAGCAGCTTCACCAGGTTTGTCAGACATATTCATTATGTCATAAATGTTTCAATACTTCATCAGCCGATGATGGCTCATTTGTACATCTCACAAATGTTGAAACTTCAGGGAGAAGAAAAAAAAAAAGCTGCCTCATTCAAAATTTATGCTGGAAGGGTGGTGTATGTCTTGTGATATCTTTTGTTTGTGGGGCTGACATGGGGTGTAATTCTGATCTCCTGAAAAATCCATTGTACCTGCACTGAGTTGAGTCAGAGTCTTCATGAGTGCACGTCAGTGTATAACTATGGAGTTCTTCAGGCACAAAAGGCTTGTTAATTAAAATAGTATTTTTCAATCATATAAAGCATGCACTGACTAGCAACATTTAGTCAATAGTTCTGTTAAAGTTTGGTAGAATTATTTCAGTTTATCCTAGCCAACAATATGGCCAAATGAAATGATGCTTATGTAGAAGTGGCTGATGATCAAGATTGTCCTTTTTAATCTAAATGGTGGGCAGTATACTTGAAATTCAGTGGTTTAGGTCTTGGTGTAACCATGGCTTTTACTTTTCAGGCTACTTGGGCTGAAGTGAACTCCTGTGATCACTTTTGTCATTACTCTAGCACATGTCCTATTCATTTGAGTGGGAATTTTGCCAAAGTGAGCCATCAACAGAGTTGAAAAAAAAGGTGTCTTGTTAATAGTAGGTTTTTCAATAATGGGTAAGCATAAGCAGTTTGACATTTCAAAATTGTATCATTTACTGAAGAGAACTAAAATACAACATACTCAGAATCAACTCTGTCGAGAAAGGTAATTAAACTGGTACTTTAGCTATGGGAAAGATCTTCCCAGTGAATTCAGAAACTTAGCAGAGTTAAACTGCCTTTAGCTGAATTTGAAAAATGAGCGGTGCACCCTATCCAAACGGATAACTAATTAGTCCTCGTTTATAAGAATATATACCTTTACAGTTAATCCATTAGTTTTGGGCACATATTCTTATGATAATAAATTTTAATGACCTATTGTCAGTCAAGGTATATGGCATGAGCATAGGGCTTTCCTAGCAGCACTTTGAATGCTGCATGAATTCTTCCTGATTCCACCCTTTTTATTTTAGCAGAAGTATTTTTTTTTTAAATACTTTTAAGAAAAAAATTTCAATGGTCAGAAAGACAAGTTTTGGCTTTAGGAGCTTTGGAACTTTAGATACAGGAAAAAATGACAGAGCTATAATGTAATGGCATATATTCGGAAAACTCTAGGGGTGTACATCTGGGCTTTTTCACAGGAGCTAATGTGCATCATACCTTGCTATCTTCAATACTCTTCAGGTCCTATTCCTGCTGAATTTCATTTATGCTTAAGGTATGTTCCAGTGGCACAGAAAGGAAGGTGTGAAGGAAACCACCATTCATGACGTTAAGCTGTACACAATCTTGGTCTCAGGTGTACCACACTGGATTCACTTGCAAAGATGTAGGCACATGGTGTTCTCTGACCCAGCACCCAAATGATGCTCCAGAAACATCCTGAGATTTGGTTTCAGATTCTGGCACCTAAATGTAGATGTGTACAATATAGAAATGTGTGATCTTTTTGTGTTGTTCTGCCATTGTAGTCCAGTGAGTTGTAGGTAGTGAAGTCGCAAGGAACTGTTCAGTTCCTCAACAAATAGGACACTTGGCATGTTAGTAGTTGAGTCTGGAGCTCTGTCATAATTATGATGGTGCTGAGGTTCATCTGTCTACAGTGCAGGTGTTTGGTGTCACTTCAGGTCTGTGAAATACCCTGCCTCAACTCCACCTGCCACCTCAGAAAGACAGTTTTCTCCCTCCAGCCTATGTAGCTTGGATTTCCAAGCTTTCAGATGGCATGAGACACTCAGGTGTGGACAGTACATCTGAGTACACTCTGTCTTAATGCTCATCCCCTGCGTTTTGATTGCTGACCATATACACAGCCTTAATCTGTCATAAGTACATGCTAAATTGACTAGCTTAAGCATCTCTCGTCTGGTTTTAAGCAAATGCATGTTACTTTACACTTCCCGTAGGCTCACAGCTCATGTTTGATCAGTTGCCACAGCCCTGGTGTTGGCAGCATCCAATGAAAATACAGTAACTTGATTGAGGTATTGAAGATTTCTCAATCAAACAGCATGCTGTTGAAAAGCTGCAAGTTTGTTCCCTGGAATCCATAGTCTGTTGTATGATCCATCAAGTATACAATAAAATGCCTTTTTTCGGATGTGGGTTCCTGGCATCAGAGGATCTGAATCATGGCTTGGGCACTTCTACAATGCAAATGAAACACTCCCGTAGTTTAAAGGGGTACATGCACCTAACGTAGTAATAACATAAAGGACACCATGGCTTAATTGATGTAGCATTTGAACTATGAAAACTTGGAAGTTGTTACTGCTCTTCTGAAAGCCATAGTGAGATTTCTGTTGCTGCCTAATTGCTTTAGGACAGTTAGATGATTAGGTCAGTGTACTATTGGGCTCAGTCTGTGAACTCACAGATCTAGGCATGACCAGGAGCCAAAACAATCTGGAACATAACTCTTGTCACTTCTCCTTAGCCAGCAGATTTGGTGGGTCAGGGGTGGCTGAGGACTTCTCTGAGAATTTGGAGCAGGGGTAAGGATGGAGTTGTTGGTTTGTGTAGAGAAGAGTGCTCAGATCGAGCTTAGCTGTGCCTGTAGTGCAGAAGCAAATGCCTCCGCTTATAGAAAAATGGGAACAAAGCTGAAGCTGCCCAGGAATAAACAGGAAAAAATTTAGGGCTGCAGGTTTTCCATTTACCCTTCACTTGTCCTTCATGCAGTACATCATTTAGTAGGCTAATTTTTTATGTTTGAGGGAGGTAGTAAGGAATAATCTTTTAAGAGCACCAGAACATTTTTGGCATATGGAACATTTAGTAATTATGTGTTCACTATGTTTTTTGCAGCAGTTAATTTTAAAGTTTGCAGCCAATGTTACTGTTTGTTAACCCAGACACTTATGTCAGAAAGCTCAGGAAGTATTTTCAGTCTGTCTGGAAACATACCATGGTTGCCTACTACTGTAACTACGGTGATTCAGTGTGAGTTACCCATCTTTTAAAATTTGGGCTGGATAATTTCTTTACCATTTCACAGAAAGTGGAAAGATTGTATTTAATTGTGAAATCAATTTGTAATTTGGAAAAAATATCAGGAACTTTTAATTTATCTCAGCTCATTTTTTATGCCACTGCTATTCCTGTTTGACATACATCTATTTCTCATCACCCTTTCTTATATGTTATATTTAACATTTTAAGATCAGAAGCACATTCTTTAATTTTATTTGGTAGCAATAAAGGCAGACTCTACACTTCAGCAGTCTGTTGCTGAATTAACTTTCCTCTGAATTCCAATGCCTTGTGTATGTTCAAAAGAACATTAAAAGTGTAAATCTTGATTCTTTGTTTCTAAGGTTTGCATTTAGGATCTGATTTTCTAATGAAAATATAAATTATCTTCAGCTCTATGTAGGTAACAATATTCAGAGAATTTCAGCCCAGCATTTTATTTTCATTCAAGATACAGCTGCTGAGATTCAAGAAAAATCTCATTGAATCATATGAAAGAATATAAAAATAATCTGGTGTACCAGTTTGGGGTGCAGCCCATTAACCTAAGGAACCCTAAATGTTTCAGGCAAGCTTGCATACCATCTTGTAGCGACCAGAGTGTAAACTGTTTTGCAAGTGGGACCAGAGAGAAGGGCTGTTCACCTCAAGTTTCATGGCAGGTCGGGGTCAGGATTAAGGAGAGAGAGCCCAGTTTATTTTATGAGTACGTCTTACACAAGCTCATGAAATGACCTTCTACCTTCAGTAGCATCTGAAGCCTGCTGAGAGGAGATGATCTTAAAGTGATGTCAATTTTTTGTATTTGTCCAGGGTTTCCCATTATTGACCCTGTAGGGGAGAATTGTAGGGGAACAAGAAGCTCTCATGTTATTTTTACACGAGAGAACAGCTAATACAAGTCATTGTCAGAGGACTGCATCACGATAACCTCACTGATGGGATGTAGAGTCTATTCAGTCTGGGGTTTTGACTCTGCAAATAGGCTTGTATGTCAAGTATATTTATACATAAACTTTGAAGGATGGGATGGTCACATTTATTGACTTCAGTCTGTCCTCCTAAAAAACTGACCCTGTGTTGTTCATGGACACCTATTATTTGTCCTGGACTCATGCTTTATCCCTGTTTGCTCCTAAGCATAGACACAGAGAGATATGGTAAGGGAGAATCTTCTAGTCCCCTGAGTAGAGACTCCAGATACCTGAATGCTTATGGAAGTTCAGCCACTCTATTACCTTAGAGATGGATTCCTTTGAGCCAGTGATGAGGTAAATGTGAATAAAATGCTAGGAAGGTTTTCCTGCTTTTTTATGTCACTAAATAAATTATACTAGTTTCCATTGCTGTCAGCCTGTCACTTTCTGAGTCACTTAATAATAAATACAAAAATATGAGATCACCAAGCTCATTAGTATTTTAGGTCTTGCTGGTTTTTTGAATGGTGTCTTTACAGTACCATTGGTTGAAATATATTGACCAGTGGTGGCATAGTGCAGACATTGCATTACATTAAAAAAATAAACAAGCTGTTTTAATGGCCAGAGAAACGGCAATGTGATAAAACTTTCCTTCTTGTTTATCTTATGTCATTTACAGTACTTTTATGTTGTTTTTTTTTAGCTCCACACGCTGGAGTCAGTCCAGCTGAATATTATCATCAGATGGCTCTGTTGGCAGGCCAGCGCAGCCCATACGCAGACATCATTCCTTCAGCTGCCACTGCAGGAGCCGGGGCTCTTCATATGGAATATCTTCATGCCATGGATAGTGAGTGATATTTTCTAGAAATATAGACGGTCCTACAAAGGGAACCACGTGGGTTGTTCGTAGTCTGACCCAAAAGGTCTCCGTGCTGACAGAGAAGTGGGAGTCGATGTAAGCCTCCTCGTGAGGCTGGAGGGCCAGAGATTTGATTGCTAAATGCACAAGGGTTATGTCAAGCCTAAAAGTAAACTTTGAAAGAAAATAGGGAGAGGAGCAGGACTGCTCATGAAAACAGGTTATAAATTTTATTTCTAGCAGGGCTTGAGTGCTTTTGAAAATGTCCTTTTCTATTTGCAATCAGTAACTCACTTTCATAGTTAGGCTGAGTATTTCCCTGATGAGCTCTCTGTTAACAGAAAGTTTACATCTGTTTTTCTGTTAGGAGAGCACGCCCTGCACCTTTCAGAGAGTGGTAGCTGCACTTACAAGTTGTGTGTCATAGACCCATAGACCAGCGATCACTTGTAAAGTGAAGCAGTTTGCTGAATTCTTAAGATCCTGACTTAGTTTTCCATAATATTTCCATAATACGAAGAGCCTTCTTTATCCACTCAGTGTCTTTCAGTCCTCTAATCTGTCTCTGTTTCTCTGTTGAAGGAGGAAAAGGGAGGACCCCATTGCAAACTGCTTGCTACTGCTTCTTTTGATCAACCAGAAGGGATTATGCAGAACATTCCCCTCAAGTCATAGATGCTTTCATGCTTTTCAGGATGTACTCTGTTCATTCTGATGAGGGCAATAAAAAATGGTGGCAAGAAAAGGTGGTGATGTTGACTTTTGCTTGATAGTACAGAACAATACAGTAGTGTTAGACAACCTTATTTTCCTGTAGAATTTTAAACTTCTTGTTTATATGCAATTTCTTCTTCCTGCTGTTGGCTGCATACCATAATTGGTGATCTCAAGGAGTGTAGGTGTTGGGAGTTTTACCTCTGGAACGCAGAGGAATATAGGAGTATATATAGCTGCAGAACACACTCCTTGGATTATGAAGTACTTGACTGACCAAAAATTTTTGTAAGAATCAGGCAAGTTGTGAAATTGTGCAGGAAGGATTTTTTCATTCTGTTCCTTGCTTATGAAGGATTTTTAAAATTAATTTTCTATTATGAGTCTCACTGCACCAGTAACATGCATAAAGAATTTACAGTAACATACCTTGAGCATGCTGCAAAAACACAGTAAACTCACACAAATAGTCTGGACTTAAACCAGAAATTAAAGTGCAGACTTAGGTACTTGAAAGGTTAAGAATATGATACTTCCAGATTTGGAGATAGGGAGAGATGAGGCACACTGCTAAAGCACTGAATGCCTATTAATAATACCTTGAAGAATGGAAACGCTGTTACACGTGGTTTAGGTGATGTAAATTTGCTGCTGTGTTCTAGCAGCAAGGACAAATCCCCAGCTTGCATGAATGGGCACGTCTTGAAAAGGATCATAGAATCCTAGAATAGTTTGGATTGTAAGGGAACCTTAAAGGTCATCTACTCAAACTTCACTTGCAATAAACAGGGATGTTTTAAATTTTCAGGGGGTTTGGTTCCTACTGTGAGAGAGTGTGTCTGAATGCACATAAGTAGCAGTACCAAACCACATTCTTGGATGCAGATTTGAGCTAATAGGTTTATTCAGTCTTTAGGAAGGTAGGTACCCATATATATGCTAGAAAACATGAGAAAACTAGAAGACTTTGCAGTATTCATACAAGTAATGACATTTGCAGAAGGATCTTCATGTGTTAGTAGAGATTGCATATATTGTGATCTACATAGAATTCCATCTTTTGCATTCCAAGAATGTCATCATTTCTTACTTAACAGGAAATGTTTTGACCTTTGCCCATAATTTCATCCCATTCATAAAAGGTACCTAAACACCATCTTTAATAAGGATATTTGTGTTCACCAGCTCTAGCTAGGATACATTTGAAATGCACACTTTAATTTGTTTTGTGTTTGTTTTTAAAAATTAAGATCACACATTTGAGATTAATTATACCAGCAACTTTTCAATTAGGCATTTTTTTCAGAGTTAGAGACAAAAACTGCACTATTATGCAAATAGGTTATTTTTAAACAGTAAATAGAGAATTATAATAAGAGTGAATCTTAGTAAGGTCACTCAGCTCACCTTCTGTATTTGATGAGAATGTGTTTAGTCAGGCAATAGCTTCTTTTATCTAAATAGAGTATGAAGTTACCCTTTTACTTTGTAAAAACTAATTAAAACTATCTTAACTTGCGTGGGTATACAGTAAATTAATTGTCATTAAGTAGGAATCTGAATGTCCTATCATTCATCATGCTAAAGAAAACCCCTTTCTTCTTTGTCAGATTTTTAGATTAGAAACGAGAACAAAACAATTAGCAGGAAGCTGATATTAAGGCTTTATGAAAATCCCCAATAAGAATGCCCGTGTATGCATTTAATAACAAAGTACAGCGATCAATGGGAAGCAATGCCATTTGTATGGATCTTTCTTCTTAAGGATTTGTATGGTAATCTTAAAAGTAGTCTTTTGCCTTTGCCCAGTCTTGTCAAAGGAAGCAGAAGACACATGAGTAATTTCCCTCATCTGCTATCAAGTTCTAAGCAAGTTGACTCAACTGACTGAAAGGCTGCTGCTCATTTATCCCACACAGCAACCAAATAGATACCAGCAAGACATTGTTCTTCTTTTGCAAAGCAGGTCTGTCTCCTAATTTGTGCTTATACAGCATCTAGCACAAAAATTTGGAATCTCTACCCCTTCCTGTAGTGCAAATAATAATTCCAACACCAGCATACACTGACTTCCAAAGTGTGTTACATACAGTATATGCAGTTTGGGGTTTTCTGTTTTGCTCTGTGGTGCTGGAAAATTGATTTCAAATGGGAATTATAAGAGTGGGAGAATTGTTAATCAGAGGTTAAATCTCACCCAAAGAGCAGTAGACTTCTTGAAGCTCTGAACTTCACTGTCCATGAGCTGTCTAATACATTGCAGAAGAATAAAACAAAGATTATGCCTGCTTAGTTGTAATTCTTCTTCCTGTCCTGAGTGGCATGAAAACTGAACCAAAATTTTCTCTGCTGCTATAAAGCTTTTCTACAGTTTTGGTGGCCAGAGACCCTGAGCAAGCCTTGTCATCTTCTTGCATGTTCTAAAAAAAGTCAGATTTATCTGTTACCTTTAAGTATAGCATCAAAAAAGAGGCGGAGTAGATGTGGAAGTTATTGACATCCTCACAGTAGCAACAACTGAAATTGTGGCTGTAAAGCTGTTGAATGCCAAAACTGTCTTTAAGCACTATTTAAAAATTTTTTTAACAATTTTAAAAATCACTATTTTTGGGTTGATAGGTGCATTTTTCACGTGGGGAATATGTTCTACTCTCCTAAATGAGGTTCAGTGGAACACAAGCATGTTCCCTGAGGTTTCAAGATTCCAAATTATTAATATCCTCACTCACATTACTTTTGTCTATCCTCACTCAGAACTGGAGGTTTCTTTTTTTAAAGGTATTTGATAATGACCTACTCCTTTTGGCATTAGAGACTCTGACCCAGCTGACCTAAAGAGTTTGGGTAGCTGTGGTGCATTGACCTTGGCTGGATGCCAGATGCCCACCAAACTTCTCTATCAGTCCCTCTTCTCAGCTGGACATGGGAGAGAAAAATAGACAGAAAACAATACGTAGGTTGAAATAAGGCGGTTTACTCAGGCAAAAGTGAAAGGTTGCATGTGCAGAAGCAAAGAGAAAACAAAAAATTTTATTCCCTACTTCCCACCAGCAAACAATGTCCATCCACTTCCTGGGATGCAGGGCTCCAGCAGGTGGAGGGGTTGCTCTGGAAGGCAAACACTGTAATTAGTGAATGCTCCCTCACCCCCTCCTTTTCTTAGCCTTTATGTCTGAGCTGGCGTCATATGGTGTGGAATATCCCTTTGGTCAGTTTTGGTCAGCAGGCCTGGTTGTGTCCCCTCCCAGGATATTGCCCACTTCCAGCCTACTGATGGGGGAGAATGTTGGCAGACAGTGCTATGCCAGCACTGCTCAGCAGCAGCCAAAACTTCTTTCCAGCTACCAGTGCAAAGCACAGCACTGTGAGGGCTGCAGTGGGAAAAAATGAATGTCATCTCAGCCAGCCCAAAACACCAGCCCGGAGAGTTAAGCCAGAATGAGAAGCTTTGGACTGGGTATGGTTTCTGTTTGTCAAAGCACAGTTAGAGAATGAGGGTGTAGTATCAAAGCCATTCCTTCTTCTCTCATCCTGATGACAGATTTATCATTTTGAAAACCAAGACAAAATTTATGATAAACTTTAATAAAGTGAAAACAAAGTTTTTACATGTCTATAAACAGAAGGCAGAAGGAAAAGAAAGAAAGAAAAAAGGTTTGACTTTAAACCCACCCCCCCTTAATGTCCCATGTTCACAGCCTTCAATAAAAACTAGTTCCTGAGACATGTTCAAAGAAGTTTGATTTAAAGGAAGGGAATATAAAAGGTTTGACAAAGTTTGATTTAAAGGGATGGAATAAATGATACATGTCTGAAGATTGCCTTATAAATGATTAAGCAATGCTAAAAACTTCAACTCAGAAATCAAATTCATGGGCAAATTTGCTGGATGGCATGTTCCATTTTTGAAATTTATGATTGAGATAGATATCTGTTATTTTAGAATTGATCTCCACCTCAGAGTAAGATCTTTTCTTCTGACACCTGCTGGATTTTTTGTTGGCACACTCAAGTCTTTACTGTCTACTACTGACTTTTTATTTTTAAAATGTCTACTCCAAAAGGGTGACATTTTTAAGCAAATCTTCACTGTCAGCTTCCATTTGCGTGCTTTGCCAAAGCTGGTGTTTTTTTATCAGCACTTCCACAGAGGTAAATGGATTTTTAGTGAATCAGTGCTCCTTCATTTTCTGATTTTAAGGCATTATTGAGTAGGGAATGTAATACTTTGGTGGGAGAGCACTGTGAGCAGATGAACATCTCAAATTGCTAAATAAATATTGAAGTGTTTGTTTTTAAAATAGAAGCTGGGCAAGGCTGGAAAGTTCAGTTTAGTATTCAGAGGCACTGACAAATTGTGACATATTCCTTTTTATAGTAGCATAGTAACAAATTTGTGTTATGCTAAATGAATGGTTAAGCAAATGTCCTGTAATGAATGGCCAGCTCATGCTTAAGACATTTTACACATGTGAGACCGAATTAAATCACAAAGATAGGGCAAAACAGTAATTCCATTCAATTGTATTTTCAGTTTTAGAAGTCGTGGCCCCCCTTGAATTGAATCCCTGTCTCCTGTGGTCAGATTCGGTAGAGCTCTTGCCTGGCTGAAGCAGAAATGTTCCCTTTTTGCAGGATCCTGCAGAGTCTCCCTTAGGAGATTGTTCCTGTCCCAGGTAGATGGAGGGGGATGCTGAATTCCCAGAGCTAGATAGGGCCTGAAACAGGTGCTGCCTGGAGGAACAGAGGATGCCTGAGACTAATGTATGCATGGCTCGAGCCCTGGTGCTGCCTCTAACAGCTGCAAGGAGTGTCTTTCTCCATCCCTGGCCACAGATGTGGTGCATCCAGCGTGGACACAGGGATGCCCTGGCCGCAGCTGGCAGCCAAGGCAAAGGTGTAGCAAGCAGTGGGCAGGCATGCAAGAGCCATAGCATGACTTAGACAAGGGGAAAAGGAGACTGGTTCAGTCCAGAAAGGGTGAGGAGGAGGCAAGTCATAGCAGTTTTTGACAATGTGCAGGGAGTATAATGTCTGTACTTAGCTATGCCCTTGTAAAACCATGATAAAGGATTTGAATTTTATCCTCATCTGGGGTAAATTACATTACATTACATAACTTCAGAGGCATTGTTTTAATTCATTCCAGCTGAACAGTCAGCAGAGAAAAAGAGTGGATTAAAGATGCAAGTGCAAATTACCACTATTTTTGTTTTACCATGATATGTATGTTGTATTTGCTTGTGAGATATATTGTAGTTTCTTACAGCTGCTGATCATTGTTGTTTCTTACTGTAGCACAAGTTACAGATCTCTGCCTTTGAAAGACATGAAGCACAGCGCTGATGAAATATCAGACACAGTACAATAGCAAGCTCCTAAAAAGGAGATAAAATGGATTACAAAAATAGCATGTGGTACATTTTACAAATAAACAATTGGCTATACCTAAATTTTAAATGATGAATCAAGAGCTTGAATATTCATTGAGAGACTGGAGATGTATGGGCTAAGGCTTTTTCTGGAGACAGAGCAGGAAGGAACAAAACTCTGCATTACACAGATGCCAAAGAGAATAAGGATTATAAATGGAGATCTGATCACACAGTCACAACAGCAATAACATGGCAGACCTGATACTGTATTAAAATCTTGGCTAGCATGCACTGAAAGAAGGGAAACCCACTCAGGTATGTAAGAAAACATACTAATAGATTCTAATGTACCTATGATCTTGAGATGAGTCTAATTAGAGTCATTTGGGCTCTTCTGGTTGTTGTTAGACGTGTAAACTTAAATACCCTGCAAAAAAAAAGATCCTGGACACAAAGATGTCATATCTTTATATACTGGATGCTTGTGGCCAACTGTCAATTATTAGCAAGTTACAGAGAATGTCAGGGACTCTAGGAGAAGTAGCTGTAAAGTAGGCATCAAACCCAAGACCTGCGTGACCCTGGCTGTCACGATCATTAGGATTCAGTCCTTTACTACAGGTTAAAGGGATTAAAAAGGTAGAAGCAGCAGTACTGTTAAAGGAAATTGTTCAGTGTGCAGTGGGGAAGCTAATTCTCTCCTTACTCCCAACCAAGATAGAAAATAATTAAATAAAGGGAATAAATTTAAGGTGATCTATCTTCTGTCAGGACTGCAGAGAGTTGGGATGACATGGTAAAATAGATCAGAAGAGGTAGAGATTTTCAGATCAGGACATAAAATTTAGAAATGTAATGTGTATTTATTTAAGTGGTATCTGTATGTTTGCCTTCACTTTGCTGCTTTGAAAAGTCTAATGTCCAGTTTTAAAGAAATTTAGCAGTTGTAGGCCCCTATGCACCCCAACAAAAGAATATCGTGGAATCTTGGACAAATTCAAATAAAGCCTACTGTTTCTCATTTTAATGCTCTGAATGTCAATCTGAATTCTGATAGAGCTGGCCCTTTTAGTATTTGCTTTAGTCCTGATTTTTAGTTTTGCATCAAATATCTACCTGGTAGAATTACCGTTACCAAAGGGAAAGCTGCCTCTTCATTTCTATACTGTATTTGACATGTAGGTTTGGCTGTATGTATTAAAGTGTTGTGAGTTTGGGCTTGCTGGTATCCCAGATCTGAACCACTGTCTCATTGCTCATGGTTGAATTAATGATGTGAATGTCTAAGAAGCCATCAGATTCATAAATCACCAGAAATGAGAGGGATAACTCATAAAAGTCTTTTCCTTTTGTTTAGCCATTTATCATTTTGCTTGCACATTAATAAACAGAGCTCCCCTGAGGTAAGCCATAGGAAGAAAGATTTTTCTTCCTAATTTTCCTCAATCGTGACCAGTAGAACACAAATGAAGAGAGCGGGCTTGTCACAGTGTGCTGGTGTCTCCCTCTACCCATCACTGATAACAAATAAATCCTGAAGTACTCTGGTGGATAATTATTTGTGTTTAATAACAGGTGCCAGGTTTCCGAGCCCGAGGTTGTCAGCTAGACCAAGCCGAAAGCGCACGTTGTCCATATCCCCCCTGTCTGACCACAGCTTTGACCTTCAGACCATGATACGAACGTCTCCAAATTCCTTGGTCACAATTCTCAATAATTCTCGTAGCAGTTCGTCAGCCAGTGGTTCTTACGGCCACTTATCTGCAAGTGCAATAAGGTAAGAATTGTATTTGCTACTTGAATTGTATATTCTCATTTATGTGTCACACACATACAAATGTGAACATATACTCACATCTCTAAATAACTTGTGGGGTTTTTTTTTGTGAATATGTGCATTTTGTAGTTTCTATAATGTCTGTTCATTAGAGCTTAATTTAAAGTATAAAATAGTTTTTTTCTTGCTCAGAGAAGTAACCACAAGGAACTTTTTGGCCTATTATTGTCCAGTGCAGGTAATATTTTATCTGACCAGCAGGAACAGTGTGTGTTTGTGTGTCCAGTAATCCGTTTTCAGAGAAGAAACTCTAGGACAGGTTTGTGACTTAAGTCACTTCGGTTCTTCTCCCATAGATATGATGGACAGTGAAATGTTGCTACATTACAATCATCAGAAAGTAAAGAAGAGAAGTATGGTTCTGTTCAATCAAAATGTTTGGCTATAACTTTTGGGTATTTATTGTATTTGCAAGAACCCCCATGGCAGGGAGGAATGATGCATGTGACTTCATATTCTCAGAAGGCTAATTTATTATTTTAAGATACTATATTATATTAAATAATACTATACTAAACTACTAAAGAATACAGAAAGGATACTAACTGAATGCTAAAAAGATAATAATGAAAACTCATGACTCTTTCCAGAGTCTCAACACAGCTTGGCACTGGTTGGCCAATGAGTGAAAACAACTCACACCAGTGAAACAATCACCTGTTGGTAAACAATCTCCAAACACATTCCAGACAAGCAAAACACAGGAGAAGCAAATGAGATAAAAATTGTTTTCCTTTTCTCTGAAGCTTCTCAGCTTCCCAGGGGAAAAATCCTGGGCGAAGGGATTTTTCCAGAGAACGTGAATGCCAGAGGTATTCAATATTTTTTTCATGTTTTCATGTCTTGAAAGATTTTACATTCTCTGGCTAATTTTTTTTTTTGGTACCAAGGAAGTACTGTCATCAGAAATGCTGTGATTTTCACTTGGCTGCTTCACTTATGTGTGCAAGGAAACAGTCAGGAATGTTTGTTCTGGAGGCAGAATAGCAGAGTAGCAGATGAAGAGATGGACAGAAGTTGTGCAGAAAAGGGACAAAGGAGCAAATAAGGCACAAAGGAGAGGGAACTAAAGGAATAATGTAAAAAGAAAAAAGGGAGTGGAAGAAAATTACGAACTGCAGCAGGAAAAATGGAGATGCAACTGCAGAACATTTTTGTATTTGTGGCATGGCTGTATGTTAACTGAGAAAAGCTCCTTTGGTATTCTAAAAAAAATCCCCCACCTCTCCAAAGTGTCATAAAATTTTGGCCTTGCATTTATAACCCTCAAAGAGTGCTTCTGAGCCCTGGCTTAACAGCAGGTTCCACCTTCAATTTGCAATGAAACAAAGGAGCAAGTCCCTACAGCAGTTTCTTGAGATGGGGCACCCATTTTAGGCAAGGCTCCAAAACACTACCAAGGTCATGGGTTTGACTCCCTGTATGGGCCATTCACTTAAAATGTCAGATTTGATGAGCCTTGTGGGTCCCATCCAACTCAGAATATTCTGTGAAATCTGTGACATGCCTCTGTGGCAAAAATTATACATTTACAGCTTTGAAAACAGGCTATGGGGGTTTTCACCCATAGAAGATGGGGCACACAACTGATTCATTAGAAACCATGAGCCTGACAAACAGCAGTGCAAATATTGGTATTAGTGTAAGTGCTGTGTTTTCCTTTTTAAGCACTTTTCATCGCTCTGAGGTACTTGAGTAGCTGTGTGGTATTTCACAGGTACAGCTATTGCTCTCAGTATAGCTTGGAAGTCAATGGAGCCATGGTCCCAGTTATGAAGCTCCTTAATGAGGAATGTCAATGGCTGGCAGCAGTTGGACCACATATGTCAGATACATGTAACTGTGTGGAGGTGTGCTATCTGCACTGTCATTAAGATGGAATGGCACTTAATAACTGAACTCCTTTCCCATAGCTTGTAGCTTTGGTAAAGCAAATCGTGCATGAAAGTTGGCATAGTCTCGACAGTGGAGTAAGTCCTCTCTCCTTTTTCTCTTCCAAAGCAAAGCTGGAGTCAGATGAATAGTTTTGTTGAAAACAGTTATGGAACTGGAAGGAGTTGTAGGCAAAGACCGAGTAAGGATGCTAGGGAGTCTTCAAAGTGAGTCTTGTGAACTGGCATCACTGAAAAAAGCAATGCTTGTATGACTTAACCTGCGGCTGACCAAAGCTTTCAGCCCTTCCTGGTTATACATCCCAGGAATGCATAATAAAAAATTTCACATGATTTCGAATTAAGATTTCTTTTTCATTTTGATAAGAGTATGTCCATTCAGCAAGCAAAGTTGGAAATGTACACTTCCATTCTTGTCAATTGAAAGGAAGGAAAGGGAGAGTTCTTCTTCCTGCTTTGCAGCTCACCTCTGTTGGTGCCCTTTAACTTCTCCTGTGTGAACCTGTCTATATAAACCAAAATAAACAATGATGTAAGGTATTAAACCCAAACCACATTTCATTGCCTTAATAAATTCCAAGACTAAATGCCAGAGGACTGTCAGTAAAACCTAATTTAATATTCACTGTCTTGCAAATAATGCATTCAGCACAAGAACTGTTGTATTGAATAAATCCATAGATTCATTCCATATAAAGTCCTGTCAGCAACTGTGATCAAAGTCTAGAAAAAAAATATTTCCTGGTTTAAAATACCAGTTTCTGGAAATTTTCAGGTTAATGTCATTAGAGTTGCTGCAAGAAAATGGTACAATTCAGCAAGCCACTAGATGGAATTGCAAGACAGGAAGGATTTCTACTTTCAATAGTATCAGTAGCATTAACTATACTTAACATAACATAGTCCTTCTACTTCTTGGTGTTGTTTCCTATCTTTTTTAATTTAGTCGAAATGGTGTACACTTGGCATCATTTTTCATGGTAAACACCTATCTAATACTGAATATTTTAAAAAAACATCAGAAGTTTAGTAATTTATCCAAATGAAGTTAGAGAAGATTACAAACTAGAAGAGCTATTGCCTTTTTACGGGGAAGCTGAACTTTGCCAGGAATGTTGCCTAGATGATGTAGATGAGATCTTTGCAGTTCTTGAGATACTGTCCCATTTAGCCAAGTGATAAGCCCTTAAGAAATTTTCTATTAGCATGTATTAAATAAACTAAGCACTCAGCATGTTCCAGTCCAGGGCCCACAAATAGGAAGGAGGACCTTTCCCTGCAGCTGTAGCTCTGGTTCCTCCTTGGGAAGCCTGTGGAGGCTCATCTGTCTGTCCAGCCATAACAGTTTTGTGAAATAGAAAGCAGTCTTTAGAGGAGAGAGGAGTCAGCCCAGAAACTGTACAGGCTAAGCAAGTTGGCACAAAATGCCTTTCTATGACACAACATAGACTTGCAGCCGAAGAGAGAAAAGGCTGCAAAATAAAGCACGCAGAAGCCGGTCATTCAGAGAATGAAGGTACTGCCCCCTTGTGATTGTGCTCTGATACCACCTTTAACTTCAGGGTTGCACAGTGTTTATAGGGCCCCTATCTTCTTCAATGCCCACCCTGAACAGCCTTAACATCCTCTGTGCATCAGTGAGAGCCACAGGACACTGCCTCTCCTGTCCCCGACAGCCTAAAACAGGAGGGAGCATCGTACCTGGTTGTTTGCTGCCTGGAGGGCAGACTGTGCTCTTGCAGCACAGTTCCAAACTGATGCTGAGCAAACTGAGCTAGTCAGGGGTGATGACCAGGCTCAGTTTGTCTTCTGGAGTCCTAGCCTACCAGTCTTAATTTTGCAGAGGAGTCAAATTGCTCACAGCCATGACTTGAAGATACTGACATCTGTTTTGAACATTTTGTATACTCTGTCATGTTAACAAGCCCAGATCTTCTTGCCTGAAATTGGGCAACCTCAATGACACTTTTTGCCTCCATCTTTCTTTGATTCATGTTCCTGTGGAAAATGAATCCTTCCCCTTCACCTCAGAGGGAGGTTGAAAGCATTAATGTTTTGTGAAGCAATTAGATTATACAGTGATGAGCACAGTGGAGAAGCTCAGGAGGGTGTCAGTAATTATTTATTCACTGATGGTTTAAATACAAGGGAAGGAAGGCCTTTGGGCATTAATCTGGGCACAGAGAAGAAAAGTTCCAGAGGGCCTCTTTGCTGAAGGCTACTGTGTGTCTTGTGGACTGAGTTAAGAATCATGCAGACGGGAAAAGGGGTGTGCTGTCACATATCTAAAATCTGATGAGTCAGCACATGAAGATTTGGCCTGGTTTACTTCTGGTATGTTTAATTTTGAAGGTTCAATGCTCTTTCACACCCATTTTTGTAAAGATACTACTTGTGCTTAGAAAGTCTCCAGGACCTCACTGGTTTTTGCCTTGGCTAAAAAAAAGAGGCTGAAAGATTACATCCTGTGCTTCACACAGCTTTTCAGCATTGGATCCTCTATATGAGCACTATGGGATGCTGAGGATGAAATCGGGTGAAAAGAGCCACATTTTGATCTCTGTTTGTACAAAGCCAAACACAGAAGGGCTCTGGTCTTTGACATGGGTACTACTGCAGATTGAATAATAAATACTAGTAGCTCAGTACAATCCCAGAGAGAGCTTGGCTTGGCGGGTGCTTTGCCATTGTCAGCTGGCAGTGTAGTGCTGTGTCCTGACTACTGGCTGAGTACTTGAAAAGGAGATGACACTCCTGCTGACAGCTAATAGTGGATCTCCTTTTGCACACCAGGTAGAGCTTCTACTTTGTGCATTTGAAAACACCTGGTTTAGGTCTCAGCTGGGAGAGATTATGCAGAAAGGAGATGTGTGAAGTAGCATCAAATGAGGATAATCCTTCATTTGACATTTACTCATTTGGTTACCTGCCTCAGTCCTGCAGTGCAGCACCCCTGCTATTAATCCTTTGTCAAGACGTACTTAATATTATATCTGCTGCCTGTGACAATTATTAGACTTTGCACTTCAGTAGCACTTCTTTTTGAGA